TGATTGATTCTATGATTCTATGAAATGTTAATGTCGACAACTAGGTTAGCTGATTCATGAAGCAATAGTCTGAATCAGAGGAGGGAGGCTCCAAATCTTAAAATCTTAAAATTACATATTTAAATTAAATAGCAGCGGAAAGTTAATTCTGGATAATCCTTTTCTCCTGAGCGAGATAGTTTCGGTGTCTGTGGTCTTCAATGTCCATATTGAGCAGGAAACAGTAGTTTATTAATTCCTATTGCCAGGAAATACAAGAGTATTGATAATAAGCATTGTTATAGTCTCAGTCTCCTAAAGGTCCAGGACTTATTTATGTTACTTCAGTGTAGCAAAAGGATGAATACAATGTTCATTCACGAGCTGCTGCTTAGTACCAGCTGCTTTGATTTACAGAGTGCTATTAGATTGTGTGCTGTTGCAGGTTACTTTGGATGTATTGGGTACTTAAGCAAGGAAAGATTTTCTTTACCCTGGCTCTGTGGTGAGCCATGTTGTCATTGTTCAAACACTGTTCCAGTGATTAGCCTCCACAGCTGCCCGAATGGAATGTGAATGCAGTTAGGAATGAGATACAGATAACATCAGATGGGATAGAGAAATGGCAAATCTATGCTTCTGTGAAAGCCAGATGAGGTAGGAGACTGTGAGGGACAACAACAGCAGATTATAGCAACAAGAAGGGTGATTAAGAATATTTAATTAGGATAGTAATTCTTAGAAATTTTAGGGGGTGGTCTCCTTGTTATCCCTTTTTGATAGTTCTGGATCCCTTACCATTCATACTTAAGCACAGTGCAAGGTGGCATAGACATACCAGCATCTCTTAGATTCTCCTCCCCCCAATCAGATAATTTACCTAGTATGATATTTAATATCTTATGTCATAGCAGATCCTTTTTTTTTTTTCAGTTTTAATTATCTAGGCTTCTTATAAAGAGCCAAATTTTCAAGAGAGGAAGTTTCTGTATCTGAGTGGCTGTTGTTGCTTATGCTTATACTAATATAGAGCATTGTAAGCCACGATGTAGCTGATCAAGGTTTCAACACCATAATATGCATTAACTGTAATGCTTCTATCTTCAGGGGATAGTGTTTGTGAGTACTCATAGTTCCCTCTTGTGAAGAATCACTGATTTTGCAGCCTAAACAAGGAAGCAGAGACTGACAAGGCTGTGCCACGGCTGATGCCAATCCAGGTTTGGCATTCTGAGTGCATCAAGCTAATGAGCATCAGAACATCAGGTGTTTCTCTAAATCTGACACTAAAAGCAGACGCAGCATTGTTTTCTAGGACAGCATCAGCTCTTAGTCTGCATCACGGTCCAGAGATGATGAATATTATTTTTCTGATTTTTGTCTCACAATAATTTCTTGGAGAGGGAGATTGGGTAGGCATGTGAAGGAAGGGCTCTAGGCTCTTGAGCAGAAAAATACTGTTTATAAGTATGGACATTCCGATTCAAGTTTTCTTTCCTGGTCTGGTGTGCTGTTGATCTGTAGGGTATTGTAAGACTTCTGGTTAAATATGTGATGTACTGTGACTTGGAGAAGTAAAAGCTTCTGAAAAATGGAAGGGTTAGTATAACATTTTGATTTTAATTGATATTTGAAACTACAGTCACTATTTTTGAACATAAAGCTATTGGGTAGAGAATGTGAGTGTCCTGGCTAATGTAGTAATGGACAATCTTTCAATAAGCATCTCAAAACACACAAAATTATTAGCTGCTTTAATTTAGAAAAAATACAGGGTGAGATTCATTTAATCTAACTTGTTCTGAAAGTTGTCTGGCTTTTCCTGTCATGGGAGAGGAATATGTCGGATGAAATATGCATCTTTGACATCTTCATAGGGCAGTGAATCACAATGCTATCTGTTTTTCTGCTGACTGTGGAGTGGATTTAGGTGATGTCTGGGTGTTCTAGAGATAAATTACTTGTTGGTAGAATTGCCTTGTTAAGGTTTAGGGCTTGACATGCTTCAGTGATCTCAAACCTAAGGGGAGGTTAACAGAGCTTGGGGAAGAGGATGTTCTGCTGATAGTGGGCACAAAGAATGCAGAATTTGTGGGCCACAAGGACATTTGGCAGAACTCCCAAGGTAAGGAAGAAACTAGTAAAGTCAACTCAGCAGCGACTGTGTAAAAGCAGCTCTGGCTGGGTAAAAGGTATTTCTGGCAGGGGGAGATGGTGACACCAACTCATGGCCCAGTGACTCCAGAAACCCATTGACCCAAAAGAAGAGAAAGACAGAGCATGTGGACTAATTAGTGTAAAAAGTGAGGGAATTGTTAACCAATAGAAGAATAATAATTATAAAGAGAACTATGTAACTTGTAGCCAATGAACATTGGTGCTTTTGTTTGCTAAGATAGATAAATAGTGAAAAGTTTTGATAGTTGTGTTGCTGGCTTTGTGGTTTTGCTGCCCAGCACCTCTTTCTGCACAGGGCTGTAAATAAATACCTCAACTCTGTGTGTGGATTGGTCTCTTGCACACTCTGTGAAAGAACTTCTTTTGGGATGATGGAGGTGCTTAGCTTACATGTTGGTGTAGAAACTGGCAGAGGTGAATCCTGCTCCCAAATTCCAAAATGAGCATATTTGTGTGTTTATTTCTGGAGGTCATTTTAACTTAGTTTCTTTGTAGACTGAGTCAGTGTTCTTCCCTGACATGAATTCATCAGATGTACATCTTTGGTCTTTGTTGTTTTAGATTTCCAGCCTAAGGTCTATGTGTTTGTGCTGATTTTCCGATGAAGTACATCCTGGTAACTGGTGGTGTCATCTCAGGCATTGGCAAAGGGATCATTGCAAGCAGCATTGGCACCATTCTGAAATCATGTGGTCTACGTGTCACTGCAATCAAAATTGATCCTTACATAAACATAGATGCTGGAACCTTCTCACCGTATGAACATGGTATGAAGACTAGTGCTGTTCCCTTTCCCATAAATACACATAAATTCACAATAATGTGGTGCTTTATTTTTTGTTTTGTATTTAAAAGACCCAATAGTATGGTAATTATTGGTAATTGTATAATTATTTTACAAGTTAATTCCTTACTGTATGTTCTTAAGGACATAGCACAGAGGAGGTATTAAGTGCCTCACAGAATCAGGCATAAATCCTCTTCTCTGTTGTACTCCAGAGGAGGTATTAAGTGCCTCACAGAATAAGGCAGAAATCCTCTTCTCTGTTGTACTCATTGGGGTGATTTGTTAGGCTGCTCATTGAAGTGGAGTGTTGTACCTTTGTGGGATATGTATTTCCATAGTCCACAATATACTCTCAGGGGAACTGCTTTTTAAAAATTATTATTTTTTAAGCTTGTGCATTTGGCCTGGAACCTGTTTAGCCATTGATTCATTTGGTCCTGGCAAAATATTTTAGAATTTTTCTTAAGAGCTTTCCAGCCTTACCTCAAGATCTAGCAACTTTAGTTCATTTGGAAGTTAACTAGATTCAGAATTTAGAGGGCTAAGAAAAGTCTGAACCTGAAGGATATTTCTGTTAGATTTTTCATGGTCAGAGATAACCCTCACTGTGGACATAGTGAACCAAATGCACAACTGACTAAGAAACAGTGATCACATTTGAGAAGCATTTATGTTCATCCTAATTTTACTCCTGATGCAAGCCTTAATCATTAAAATAGATCCACACCACAAGAATTTACGGTGAAACACTTTGAACATGCATAATAATTCATGCTTATAAAACCACGTTTTTTGTCTTCCACAAGTAAATTAATATTTTATTTTTTGCTGATTTATGATTTCTGGATATTGTTTTCTTCCAGTGAAGGATTGCAGCACTGTGAAAATGCCAGTTAAATATTCATAAGTCACTTACATATTTTGGCACTATTACAAATGTATTTGCAAAACTGAGAGATAGACGTTAGATGTAAAACTAATGACAGATATTGTCACACAGAATAGCAATGCAAATTGAGTTGCAGTACGTGTTGTATTGATGTGTCATATTAGAAACAAAATCTTCAGTTTTAAAATGCTTGTGGTATTCCTCTTGTGTGTTTAATAATTTCTGATTATCTTACTGGTTTTCTGTCTGTTTTCACTTTCTGTTTTCAGGTGAAGTTTTTGTATTGAATGATGGTGGAGAAGTTGACTTAGATTTGGGAAACTATGAGAGATTTTTGGACATCAATCTCTATAAAGATAACAATATCACAACTGGAAAGATATATCAGCATGTCATTAATAAAGAAAGACATGGTGATTACCTGGGAAAAACCGTTCAAGGTAATGTATTTAATTCTGGATGGATGCTAGTCCATTCAGTCTTCACAAAAGAAGTGATCGGCTAGAACAACAGGCTGCTCCTTGCTGCACCACTTTACACCTTACCTTTCTCCCTCCCAAGAGATATGGGCACATTTCTGAAATGTTTGGCTTCTGGGCTCAAGGAAAGGAGGAATAGAGAAAGAACCTAGTGGTTCCCTCTTGGCTTCCTCTTAATTTTCCCCTTTTGCATGCAAAAATTTGTATATGGGCCTAAGGTAAGCTATGCTTGCCTTCTTTGTTTTGTCTTGTAGTTGTTCCACATATTACTGATGCAGTTCAGGAATGGGTAATGAATCAGGCAAAAGTTCCAGTGGATGACGACAGAGAAGAGCCAGAAATTTGTGTAATTGAGGCAAGTATGGAACCTTTTAGGTTATATATCTGCAGGTGAACACAAAGAACTAGTTTGCTCTGGTTTTGCTGCTTACTGTCAAAATGTCAGACTGAAGTTTTATAGGGAGCAGCAGTGCAAAGACATTTTACATTCTTTGGTTTACTCTGAAAGTGATAGGTGTCATCTTATCCCTACAGCTTCCATTTACTTGACTAAATCCATTCTAGAATGCTGCTGAAACTGAGCTGATTAAGAGTTTATTAATTTCTAAAATTAAAGCAAACACTTACTGCAATGTGAACTATTCCAAGATCTAGACATTTGACTGAAGCTTTATGCTGTTAGTAGTATTGAGAAAACTTGTGTAATACCTGAAATCTCCTAAAGTCACTAGGAGAGCCTGTAACATTCCAGCTTTCCTCAAGAACTCAAGTGTCCATCTTTCTGCTTATGGTCCTGTTTAAAGGAATATATTTAAGCAATGTGTAAGTTAGTTTCCCACTTTCTGATGTTGTCTTAAGATCTCTGGAGACAGCTTTGTTAATTGCTTCATGTGCTGATGTTCTGCACAATGGAAAGGAGTTTTACCCACCCTTAGTAGGGCATTGAGACAACTGGAGGAAGAGCAGTAATTCCTGGTATTACTATTACAACAGAGAATACTGAAAAAGATTATACTTGAGAATTTGGCAGAAGAATGTCATAGATTTAATGCCAGAAGTGACCACTGTAATCAATAGTGTAGTAAACTGTGACCCAGGCCACAGAACTGCTCAGTATTTCTTAAGCAGAAGAATCTGACTTGATTAAAACATACTTATTGGTATAGTTATAGATCTTTTTTTATGATGTGCACAGAGAGAGTCTGGCATTTAATTAAAAAAAGCCAAAACAGTAAACGCAGAAGTTGCATGAGAAGATTAGTGATGGTCTCATCAGTCCTTTAACTTCAGTCTTTATTTTATGTTTCCTCCATGTGAGAGGTTTGTTTGGGTAGGTGTTTTTTGATATACATTTATACCTCCAGACTGACAAAATATTTTTCTTCAGTACTTCGAGTATTTCAATGTTTTTCCATGGCAAAATCCTGAAGGAGTAAGACTGAACATGTGTTATGCAAGAATGTAGTTGTCAGAAGCTTTTCTGGTGCTGAACAGAAATAGGCAATTCTGTCAAAAGCCACTTGGTGGCACAGAAAGATCATTCTGAGACACAACTAGAGTTACGTGCTGAATAATGCTTTATTCAGTGCTTAGTCTACTACAGCTGTGTCTTTGAAAGACACCTAATTTCTGTCTTTATAAAGTTTTAGTCTTGGATTTTGGTTTGGTGATAAATACTTGGTACCAAACACTTATCGATATTGGAAAGCTATGATTGCTAAATGTCTGTATCTCATTGGTCACAACAATCTGATAGGAAAATATGAAGTTTCTCTGTACAAAAGCCTTCACATCAGCCTAACTATTGATTACTTGTTCATCACTTTGAAGGCAGGGCAAGAGCATATATTATTCAGTAGCACCACAAGTCTTCCCATGAGAGGTTTTTGTATTGGCTGTAAAGTAAATATTATGAAACTGAAAGATTGTTTAATGTTTTCCACAGGAAACAAAATGCAGAGTATATGAGAGTTCTTTGCAGAGCATGCCTGCAAATTTCAACTTCCAGGGTTTTTTAAGATAAAAATTTGAGAAAACCTGTTGAATATGAGACTTTTTTTCCTTCTCTTTTTTGCTTTCTGCCACTCTGACATATCCAAGCTTTCCTTTTCAGCTGGGTGGAACCATTGGAGATATTGAAGGAATGCCATTTGTTGAAGCATTTAGACAGTTTCAGTTCAAAGCAAAAAGAGAGAACTTCTGTAATATCCATGTTAGCCTGGTACCACAGGTAAGTTATTAGAATTAATAAAATAAATTTTACTCTGTATTGGGCTTTATGTTTTGTTCACTTGTCCTGTTAACCCTTTCATGCTGGAGGGTTTTAGAGATGGAGATGTAAAATCCAGCCACAACCCAGTATCACCACCCCTTAACACCCTAATTGGAAAGGCAGTCAGAGTCTCTAAGGTATCAGTTACAGTTCTGTTCAAGCTAATGCTATAAGGAGAGAACAGCATAAGTGACCTTATATCTCTTCAGGTAGTGGAACCACAGGTGGTGTAGCATTGAACGGCCCTGGTGTGCAGCATGCTGGGCAGATCACATCCATAGAAGAAATTCTCCTCTTTCTGTCATTTGAGATAAAAGATAATTTTCTTATAAGGAAAGAACTGTGCCATTTCTATTGTCAAACAGAAAGGATGTTCTCAGGAGAACCTTTTGCCACATCCCTAGATAAAGGCAAGGCCACACAGGTGCTGTCACTGTGGATGCAGAGTGGGAGTTGCCTGCAGCTTCTGTTAGGATGACCTGGCTGAGTTTGTCCTGCAGCCCAGGGATCTGTGCATTGCAAGCCTGGGCCTTTCAGCTGGACTCTGATGTGGATCAGTAACTCCTCAATGTACAGTGGTCTTCCAGCCAAGACCACTACACCTTTCTGTACAGGGCTAGAAGTATCTTTTCATTTGACCTCCATATTTTACTTCACAAATAGGTTTTAGTCTTTTAAAAGGTAAGTATTAATTGGGGAGATTTTGGTAAGTGAAGGTTGGTAATAATGATGTGTTTTCACCTTGTACAGACAAAAAGATAATTATTACCAACTACAGCTATGGATTAGAGGATTGATCAGCAGCTGACAGGATTAAGTCTGTGTATCAGACAACAGAATTATTTACTACATCTGAGTATTTGCAAGGATAGTTACTGAAGGTTTTGTACTGTGTTGGACATTCTCCATTTATTAGCAAAATCCAACTTTTGGAATATTATTATTCTTCTACCTGAGTCAGTTATATTGAAACTTTTTTTTCTGAAAGAAAAAAAAAGACAAAATAAGCCTGACCTGAATTAGGGCCCTGTGTTTTCTTCACAGTATTTTTAGGCATGGCACCCCTGTCATTACTTACATGCTTCTGGCACATTGTGGCTCTGTTTGTATATGTTTACTTCCTGGAAATATTATTCATTGCAATGAATTTTCTCTTTTAATCTGTAACTGCTTTGTTAGTAGATGTTAGTTGCTGTTTGAGCTTTCAAAATGTGCTTTTCCAGCCTAATGCCACTGGTGAACAGAAGACAAAACCAACACAGAACAGTGTTCGAGCACTGAGGGGTCTAGGCTTGTCTCCAGATTTGGTGAGTCAATAAATATGGATTTTTGTTTATAGTTCATCTAGAACTTCATCCTTGCATCATGCTTGCATAACCTGTGTTCAGAGAATAAGCCTTGGTCTCTCATGAGAGATGAGAATTTTAGAAGAAATGCAAAATATGTGCTTCACTGTTTCACTAAAGCCACAGGAAATCAAATTACTCAAATTCACTCTAAGTTAATTTAACTAACTCCTTGCAATGTCTTGGGACTGTAGCTATGTTCTTCTAAAGGGATCTTTTTACAAAAGTAATTCTTTACTGCTAAAAATACTCTGGAGTCTCAGTATTCTTTGTGGGAAGACCTGGAATGTTTCTGGCTTCATTCTCTCACGAACTTCTTTTTTTGTGTGATTAAGAAGCAGCAATATGTATATTCTCAAAAAGGAAAAATGGTTCTTAAAACGATAGCCATACAACTAACTTTTATGTTGTGCTGAAAGGATTCTTTATCTTCAAATTGTTGTGACCTGGTAATTGTAATCAGCTTGTGAAGGGAAAGACTTTTCTTAATGCAGTGCTATGCTGTGTATTCCAAGCTCTAGGGCCTAAACTTCAAAATCCGTTGATGTGCTGATCACGTATGGCAAGTTGCATGTGATTTTTTTGAATGCCTTTAAGATAATTGCCAGTGCCTGACTTTTCCCTCTCCCCCCACAAATAAAAGCTTTCAAAAACCTGTTGTGTGTGTAGTAAAAGGAAAACAGACCAATCTGGTCACTTTCTCACATCTCCAGTTCTTGCCTGGGGCAGCTCTGGGACTGCCAGAAGCACAGTATCTTTTTTCTAAATTTTTTTTGGCTGCTGCTGTTGCCCACTAAAGCAGTGAGGGAGTACACTCTAAGCACAGCCTCTCGCCACCATTAGAAAGTTCCCTGGGCTCTGCTTCAGGAAAATCTTTAAATGGTTGCTTGGGCAGGGGCTCAAGGTCAAGACAGCACATGGGGAAGCTCCTACAACAGCAGTCAGGAGGGCTTCCTTCATAGGCTGTGCTGCCAGGCTGCCTGCTGTGAGCTTGGCCAGTCCTGCTCTGACACCTGCTGCCTCACTGCCTGCTCCCAGGCTTCCCGAGGTGACATGCTGGGCTGGTCTCAGCTGTGTATGTGCAGGAGCCTTTCTGTTCTCCATGGGGTGTTCTAAGTGCCTAATGAACACACTATAGCTGCAGGTATCAGGTGCTCTGTTAGAGCACTTTGAAAACTGTGTTTGCTTGTCAGTGCTGCCCTATTCAATTGAATTGTTCCTCATCTTCTGTTTCTTCAAGGTGCATCTCTATCACTGTTACTGTAGTTTTGTATGTTCGTGTCGATTCTGATGTTTTTGGTGTCTGTGTCTGCATTAGCTTTAAGTTTGTCTCAGCAACAGAGATGGTAGGTTTCAAAGTGCGTTTAGCAATGTGCTCATGTTGTCAAGGTTTGTGAATTATACCTTCACCTGCAAACTGTACCGAGTTCTTAAGCTGTTCTTAATTGAATAGAATGTACAAGTTGTTCTGTAATTATTTGAATGTGCACTAATTTTCCCCTTACACTTACCTTTTTTTTAATGTTTCTGAAATTTGTTGTAAGGGTAGGGGAAGTTAATTAGACTTCATCAATATCAGTGTAGCTAAGCTGCATTAGTAGGATGATCTAAGGTCAGCCACAGGTTTCTGAGCAAAATGGCTAATGTGTTAAGTAGTTGCATTTGATAGAAAGATGGGGAAAATAATGAACTAGTGTTGTAACAGGATCATCCTACTTTCTGTTATACTTTCAGGTTTTAAAATAACTAAAGGTGGTAATCAATTGATAGAGCAGTAATCATTTATTATTGATAGATAGTAATCATTGATAGAGCAGTTCTGCATTTCAAGCTAGTTGCCTGGAGTTACATAATGCAAAAAAAAAAAAAAAAAAAGACCTCTTCTAACAAATACCAAAGCATATACTTATTTTCTTCATTGGTTACAAATTGTCAATATTTTCCAAAATTACTGAGTTTTAAATTCATCAGCAAAATGCTAGCAGAATAATTGCATCAGTAAAAGCGCCACAGAATTTATGAAATAGGTTTTTGATACTTGGATTCTTTTTGTTTTTGTCCTGATGTGCAAATTAAGAATTATAAAAAGGTGCTAAAGTACTGAAATACTAGAAACATGCACATAAGCTAAGTTGTATTGCTCTAAATTCAGATCTAATCTTACTGATAATGTAACAGTATTTTGTTTTATATTATTATTATATTTTGATATTATTCATACTTATAGAGCTGCTAGACTTAAGGTAAAGAGTATTATAATGGTAGCTGCAAGAAAGGAGAACATAGGGCTCATTATTACAGATAAAGCCAAAGAAAGATGAATGAAAGTGAGTCGGTATGGGCAGGTGACTGTTTTACTTCTGCCTTGCTAGTAGGTATTTGTGAGCTATTAGGTATTTGTGAGCTGTGATATATTGTGGAACTCCAAAAAAGGAAAAAAAAAAAGGTTCTGCTTCCAAAGGAGATGAATTCCTCTTTGAAATATTGAGTATCTTTTGTTGGCTTGCCTAGTAAATATTTGAGATTATTTTTTTTGTTATGACAGATTGTCTGCAGAAGTGCAAAACCTATAGAAATGGCAGTGAAGGAGAAGATTTCCATGTTTTGTCATGTGGAGCCTGAGCAGGTCAGTACTTTAATATTTTGTCATTACTATACATGTGGGAAAGCATACAAATATTTTTGTGCATTTCTGTTTTCAACTTCAGACTGCTTCATTAATATGTAATGGTTTTTATAATTTTCATCTTGCTGTCATGTACACTATAAAACTTTAAAAATATTGGGAGTTTATATGTTGTCTTATGTCAAACAGTCATGAATAATTTAAATGCATGTTATGTAAAAGCTAGTAAAGGAATAGATTATGAGTGCATCGTTAGTTGCTATACATAGCTTGAAATTGCATAGTTTTCACAACTATGGATGGTTATTGCCCATAAATCGTCCCAGGGGATGAACAAAGTATGGTTAACTGTAGGTGATTTGCTTATGTCCACAGATGATCACAGCCACATGAACACTCTTATTGTGATAATATGCAATAGGCTATTTATGCCCTTTAACATGTTTAGTACATCTACTGTGTGTGTGTATATATATAATTTTATAATTCATGTGTAATTTTTGCCTTAATAGTTTGATTGATATCTATTCAAATAGTAATTTTGATATATCAAATACTCTTTCATTTTTTTGCAAGTGAGAGCATTTTACTCCTCAATGTAATGGATAATATTATAGGTATAATAGATGTAAGTAGTTATGTGGTATTTAAAATATGTGTTAGTGTTGACTTCTCTCTCTGCAGATGTGTAGAAAAAAGCCTTTCATAGTGAGGTACTATATGAGGACATAGAGAACAGTGTGGCCATTGCTTCACATGCACACAAAGACACACAGAGCCATTCCTTCCATCTTACTGTCTGTGGAAGACAACACCATTGAGTCTTTTATGTTGTTTCTTGTTCTTAGGTGATATTCATTCATGATGTTTCTTCTACTTACCGAGTACCAATCCTGTTGGAGGAGCAAGGCATCATTAAGTATTTTAAACAGAGGTTAAATTTACCTATTGATGACCAGCCAAGTGATCTTCTAATGAAATGGAAGAAAATGGCTTGCAGGTATGCTACACCTGCTGCTTTTTCTAGAAGTGTTTTAGTTCAGGTTAGGTTTTTAGCTTCTATGAAGTCATCAAACTCGACTGGGGTCAGTGCTAATCAATAACTGGGAATGGGCTGGGTTTAAAAACGTCGGGTTTGAAATTCTAGAAGATATTTTGTGGAGTTAAAGAAAAAGCAAACACTGTTGAAATGTTTTCTTTGTGAAATTTGGTGTAGTAACTGAAAAAACTTGTTTTTGTCAGGTATGAAAGGTTGCTGAAGGTGTGTTCCATAGCTCTTGTTGGCAAATATACGAAACTAAGTGACTGCTATGCATCTGTTTTCAAAGCTCTGGAACACTCTGCCCTGGCAATTAATTACAAACTGGATTTAATGGTGAGGAAATTTCTGGGTTTTGCTTTTAGGAATACTTTCAATCTACTATTCTGCTACACTCGACTAGTTCCCATCATGGAAGGCAGTTTTAATTCATGTGAAAATTAGAAATTGAATCATGCAGATAAATAGTTTGGACAAGCATCTCATTTTCTAAAAGAAATGTTTACAGATGTAATTATTTAATATGCAATTAAAGTTATCTGAAAGGAACACTGAAGTTACCCAAAACTGGGCCTGGTGAAAAAGCAGAATTTACCTGCAAATTTATATTTACTATTTAAGTCATATTTCACTTGGTCTTGTGGGATGTGGTTTTGTGGTAGACTTGGCAGTACTGGGTAAGCAGTTGGATTCAGTAATCTTAAAGGTCCTTTCCAGCTTTAATGATTCTATGATTCTATGACTAGAAAAGGGCAGATGTACCAATCTTAAAAATAAAAAAAAATCAAGAATGAGGGTTTGGGGAAATGGCAGGGAGTCAGCCTCTCCTCATTCTCTGGGAAGATTATGAGCAAATACTCCAAGAAGTTGTTTCTGTGTGCATGAAAAACAAGGAAGTGGGAACAGCCAGGATTGATCCCTGGAGAAATTTAGATCCTGACTGGAAATTATCTAGAGCAACCTGCTCTAATTTGACTTGCTTTGAGCAGGGGGTTGGGTTAGAGACCTCCCAAGGTCCATTCTAGCAGATCTGCTTACCTGGAGGATGCCAAACTGAGGAGGCAGACAGAACTTGGGAGCTATGTGCAAAGAAACAGGCATGGATTGCTGTAACTAGAGTAAACACTGGATCTTCAAAGCAAATACTGGGTCTTCTTTAGTGAAGCTGTTACAGGTTTATTGGGAAATTCACCTGAAACTCTTAACAGTTTCTCTTAATGATATTAAAAAGTTGATTATATACTGTATATTGCTCTTTCTATGGAAGAAAAGACCATTTCATTGCATATTTTTTTTATCAGTACATAGATTCAACAGAGCTCGAACGTTCTACAGAAGCAGAGAACTCAGTGAAATATCACCAGGCATGGCAAAAACTGTGCAAAGCAGAGTAAGTGATGTTGGGTATTCCGTACCCAAATGCGGACCATGATATTTATTTCATATGATAAAAAATGTTTCAATAAATCAAAGAATTTCTCAATGCATTCAAACTTCTGTTACTATGTAAAGGGATATATTGCATGGTTGGTGACAAGCTTCAGGCATAGAAAATTAAAGTATCAACCTATACCCTCAAACTCTGCTTTAATCTCTTTAGTGAAGTTGCAATTATTTGTTTGTTGGGTTAGGGTTTTGGGTTTTTTTGTTGTTGTTTTTTTTTTTTTTGATAGCTGGACTTTCTTTACAGTGCAGGTCAGTTGTCAAAAGTTTTTATTTGTCAACATGCAACATATCAGAAGGTACCTGTAAATGCTAGTGACACTCTCCAAATGTCTCTGTTAAGAATCATTGCCAGGATTTCAATTTGTATTTGTAAAGAGATGTTTGTTGTCCAAGTGCATTTAGTTTCTTCAGTATTACTTAGTACATCCAAAGTTTTGGTCTTAAGATCCTAGAGTAGTGAACATTTAACTAGTTTATTTGAGCAGTGTGAATTTCACTGTGAAGCATGAGTTTGGTCAGATGAGAATTGTAGTGGGTAGATGAAACAGATCTCCAGATTTAGAGCTGAATTCTGTGTGTTCTGAATGGTCATACAAGACATATCTTTCATGCATTGTGATTGCTGAGTTATAACCTCAGAAGTGCTCAGTTTGTATGGACTTCCTCTGTTGGCTTGATTCTACATGTTGGTTCTTTTATATATGGCTGTCCTTACAGTGGCATTCTGGTCCCAGGAGGGTTTGGAATTAGAGGAACAGAAGGCAAACTCCAAGCTATCTCCTGGGCAAGAACAAAGAAAAAGCCATTTCTTGGTAAGATCATTCAAATCAGAATGTGGTTTGGAGATATATAGCAAGCTATCAGAAAATAAAAATCAAACCCACACTAGACAAGGATCCTCTTTTAGAGAAGTATCTGTGATGTTGTGAATATTTGTCCTGTAAATAATGCCCAGGGTCACAGTCATGTGCTACATCTGCTGTATAAGAAGGAAAAAAAGGCTATCCTTACTTATTTCAAAGGTTTTATTTGCTTTGTTCATATTTTAATTGGAGAGTCTTTGCTTCTCATAGTAATTAAATCAGTGATGGCATAGAGTAAAATGTTTGGAAGTGTGGTAGTCAAGGTAGACCTCAGTAACAAAGATGGATATTATACTTAGTAGAGCGAATCATGGTAGTTAAAAACAAACTTAGTGACAAAGATAAATATTATCTACCTGCATGTATTTGTCTGATTAATAGGCAACAGAGATGAATATTATGTTTAGTAGAGCAACCGAACTTGTATGTACTTGCATATCCATCTGCACATATCTGCTTGATTAATAGATTATTATTTGCCTGATTAATAGATTATTATTATAAGATCTTGAAACTATGTTTGGGGGGATTATAACAATGATCAAAGGGAACTTGAAGTTATGCCTAGGGAGGATTGTAACAATAATCAAAAGCAACTGGGATCCATGCTTGGGTGAAATCAATAGAATAATAGTAATGTAATGATTAATCTATGGTTATGTAAGAGAAGAGTATAAAATGTATCCATCTCTGATCCATGTCGGAGTCAGATTTGGGTCTGTACCCCGACTCCCACAGCTCTTCAATAAAAGCACCCATATAATCATTCAGTGATTATGTGTTTTCTATGCTAACATCAGTATAATTGTATATATTAAACAATGTGCAGAAAATGTAGGTGTCTTTGGACACATTTGCTATATTAAATGAATTTTGTTGCTTTACTGGTATATTTTGTTATGGTAAAGTCCAAAGATGTTACCTGGCCTATAAGCTACATGCCCTTTATGCAAGTGCCTCAAAGCTTTGCTTCTTGCTCCACATTTCTTACAATTTTATAAGTGTCTGAGTCATTGTCAAAGCAAAGTTTGAATCTGGATATACCCAGACTTTCAGCTTCTGTTTACAATAATTATTGGTAAAATCGATGGAAGGAAAAAATATTTTTGAAGGGGCTTAAAGCACATAACTGTGCCCCAGGTATTTACAGTATGCCAAGTTTGAAGTGCAGATTTTACAGTGAGATGCCACTGTTGGTTTAGCTTTTTGTAAGTCTGTGTATATACACTCCCAAGATTTTGAAGCAGTAAAGCTCAAGACAGAACAGCTTAGTCAGTCCTGTTCTTTGTCCTGTTAAATTCTGAGATTTTTGTTTTCTCTTCTAGGAGTTTGCCTGGGGATGCAGTTAGCAGTTGTGGAATTTGCAAGAAACTGTTTGAATTGGAAAGGTGAGCTCAGTATGCTAGTGTGAATACGATTTGCTTAGAAGAAATTTTATTCTCTATGTGAATTATATGTCCATTTATAGATCCTGTGACTGTAAGATACTTAGCCCTTGCAGCAAGATCATTTTCAGATAAGCACCCTATACTACTTCTTTGTGCAAGGGAGTAGGAACTCTTATGCAGATTGCTTGAAACCTGTTTCTTGATCTAAGGAGTGCACAAGAAAGTGTTCTTACAGTTCACCTCTGTAGTCTCTGTGGAGTGTGCTGGTGGTGAGGAGTAGAGGGTGAGAAGTGGTTTTCTCACTTGCATTCATTAGTCAGAGTGGCCAAACCAGAGCCATTGCAGTAGTAGTATGAAGACATTTAGCTTATCAGCAAACCAGAGCCATTGCAGTAGTAGTATAAAGAGATTTAGCTTATCAATGAATTTCTGTTACTAAGAGTTGAGAGGAAAGAGTAGGAAAGGAACTGTGTGTGTCTGAGGTCATGCCCTTCCTGTGGTTGCTTCAAAAGTGGTGCAGTATGTGTTTCAGCATATAAGATTGTAGCTTAAATGCAGACAAGCCCTGAAAAGCCACAGCACTGTTATGGGTTCATAGTGCATGTGGAACAAATGTACTGTGTTCACTCTGAACTTCTGTTTCAGATGCAAATTCTACAGAGTTTGACCCAGGCACAAAAACCCCTGTTGTAAGTACTGTTCTTTATCCTGCATGTGTTTTGTTAGCATACATCTATCTATATTTTTACACGGTAGGATGTGATGTCTGCTCTCCCTGTTCAGTATTGTTTAAAAAGGTATTTTCTTCTGGTAGTCTCTTGACATTACTTGCTCACCTCTGTGAGTTTCCTGTGCTTTATGTTTTGTAATTTTTCTAATAGTTTCCTTCTCTGTAAACTGATGCTGGGAGTAGACAAGAATGATTAGGTTGTCTGTAGAAGAGGAATAAAATATGAAGGAGAGCTAAAAAGTGCACTACAAAGCTATTATCAAAATAGACATCTGTATATAGAAATGTAAGGATTAAATGGAAAGGGGTTGAAAATATTCTTGTATTTCCTTTATATCAATAGCATAAATAACCACTCCTCCCCTCCTCCCCAGTCCTCCTTTTGACAAAAATTTCTTTGCTGTAAATAGGACAAGGCTCTCTGCATCACATGCTGAGTGGAGTTCATCACATTGTCATTGTAGTAAAGCTTAGAAATGGTCAGTGAAAGGTTTTTTAAGAAAGCAAAAAAGAGCAGAAATAAATAGGAGAAATAGAGCAGTATCTTGTTGTAAGAGGTAAACATTTGATCTAGTGACAAATTAAATGTGTTGCTCATAGTGTCCTACTGTTTCTGTATGAGTTTCCTTTAGGGTTTTGTTGGGATTTGCAAGCAAAACATGTTTTTTTCTCACATCTGCTTAGTCTGAAATGTTCAAATGGAAGGGTTTTAAAGCATTTGACCTGTTTGTCAAGGATGTTTATTTGCATAGGCAGGATAATCTAGTCTGAACTTTTGAAGATAAATTAAAGACCTTCAGAGTTTCAGTGTGACGTGCTGCTAAAACTTGGTGGTGTTTGGAGGTATACTCAGGTGAGCAAAGGGAGACTTGGCTTTTGGCATCGAATTTGTGGCCTTGCTATGGGAAGAGGTTTTTTTCTTCATCCTTGTCAAGGATGTTTATTTGCATAGGCAGGATAATCTAGTCTGAACTTTTGAAGATAAATTAAAGACCTTCAGAGTTTCAGTGTGACGTGCTGCTAAAACTTGGTGGTGTTTGGAGGTATACTCAGGTGAGCAAAGGGAGACTTGGCTTTTGGCATCGAATTTGTGGCCTTGCTATGGGAAGAGGTTTTTTTCTTCATCCTTGAATGTGTGTGATACTCTTTCTTTTCCCTGGAGAGGTCAATTTCATAATAGCAGTATGTTGTAAGATGTGGAACATGTTGAAAGCTTACTGTAATTTTTTTGGGAAGCAAGAGGGAGAGTATGGAAGACCAATTCTGGGGCAGATTTGTTTCTAGAATTTTTTTAGTGACAGTTTTATTTAATTGTAATTAACTGACTGATTTGCAGTTTGCATTCAAGAGCGGGTAAGGTAGATATGTTAAAGAGAAAATTATGTGGACATAAAGTTAAGAAAATAATGGATGTGTCATAGAAGATTAATAGATTGTTTACAGTGAAAGATGTATGCTTGCAGTACGTATGATGGATATTCTTTTGTTCTGGGCTACATTAAAATTCTGAAATTGGTTATTACCTGTCATATTTCAGCATCTTAATCTGGTCTTTGACATCTCAGTTCTGGATGAGAAACAGATGTAAATCATTCCAAGGGGGAAATTTGCTCTACCAATAATTATAACTGCTAAATAATCTTTCTTAGCAGAGTTCATCTTGTGCTGAAAATTTCAGATATTCTATATAATAACAAATCAATAGAAACAATTGGAAGAGAGGCAGATTAGTGAAGCTTGTGATCTATCGAACTGATGTAGATGTTTCATTACCCAAGAAAGTTAATTGGAATGTGTCAGCACTGATTATATCTTGTGATGCCACTGTGTGCTAACTTAGGAGTAAAGCAGTGTAATTTTCATTGGGTTCCTCCTCCTTTGGAAACTGAAGAGTGAAATGTAAGGCACTGGTGAGGCCGTAATTATATTTCTTTTTATTTTTAAGAAAAAGAGACAAAAGTTGAAATATGTAGCTTGACAGGGGTACTTGGACGCCATAAAATACACACCTACTTACATCCATTCCTCATTTGCTAAGCATTAGGTACTCAGAACTGTATCCATCAAAGCTGATAGTTTGTTCTAAAGTACTTAGAAAATATCTTAGTCTCCTTTGCTTCCCTTTGTCTGCATCTATGGAAATTTGAACTTTTTAAATACAAATAAAAGCTGAGATTATCAAGTAATCATGTAACTCAGAATTACACAGAATCACATTTAGGTTGGAAAAGACCTCCAAGACCATCTAGTCCAGCCTTTGGCTGATCACTGCGTTGTCAGGTAGCACTAAGTGCCATGTCCAGTCATTTATTAAACACCTCTAGGGATGATGACTCTACCACTATTCCCTGGACAGTCCATTCCAATGCCTGACAACTCTTTCAGTAAAGAAATTCCTCCTGATGTCCAACCTGAACCTCCTCTGACACAGCTTGAGGCTATGTCCTCTTGTCCCATTGCTAGTTGCCTGGGAGAAGAGACAGACCCTCATCTTGCTACAACCTCCTTTCAGGTAGTTGCAGGGCAATAAGGTCTCCCCTGAGCCTCATTTTCTCCAGGCTAAACACCCCCAGCTCCTTCAGCTGCTCCTCATATGACTTACTCTCTAGACTCTTCAGCAGCATTGTTGCTCTTCTCTGGACTTGCTCCAGCACCTCAATGTCCTTTTTGAAGTGAGAGGCCCAGAACTGGACACAGCAGTCAAGGTGTGGCCTCACCAGCGCCGAGTACAGAGGGACAATGACTGCCCTGGTCCTGCTGGACACACTGTTTCTGACACAGGCCAGGATGCCATTTGCTTGGCCAGCTGGGCACACTGCTGGCTCACGCTCAGCCGCTGTTGACCAGCACACCCACGTCCTTTTTGGCTGGACAGCTTTGCAGCACTGCCCCAAGCCTGGAGCATTGTCTGAGGTTGTTCAGGAGGGAGGATGTGGGAGGTACCTGACCACTGAGCACAGCCCCTCGAGTTCTTGATCTCATCTTGGCTGAATATTTGCAGGTGATGTTCCCATTATGTTTTTAAACTTTCTGCTTTACTTTCTAACCTTTTGGGAAAGAATGATAGGCAAATTGTTAGTGTTTTTTGCAGGAAGATAGCTGTTCAGAAAAGTAATGTATTTGCTTGAGAATCCTTGGTATGAGTTTTCTCATACCAATGCTAATTTGGTAATTTGGCAAATGATAATTTCAAAGATATCTCCTTTAAAAGGAAACTGCCTAGTCTGAACTGGTAATGAACTAGATTCACTGGATGACTGAAGACTTACTTGTTTTGTTCCATTTCTCTCATCCTCCTCTACTATTAAGCTTAGATTTTAAATTTTTTTTAATGAGCCTTTTAATTATGTTCTTTATCAATTTTATTGCAACTGCATCTAATACTGTTCTAGGGGAAAATACCACCTCTATCCAGAAATAATTCTAATGTTTTTTATTTTTTTCCCTTTGATTTAAAAAAGCTAATTTTAATTGTGACCATTGTTCTTCATGACCTATTGCACCTTGTATAGGATTCTGAAACTGAGTTTACTTCACTGGGTAAAATAGCTGTATTTTCTATATACTCAAGAAATTGTGCAAATATTTATTTTGCCAGTAGGTGACACTCTTAAAACAGATTTGTTTCTTGGTGCCCACATTTCCTATTCAGCATGCCAGTAACCTGATTGAATTCCAAAATTTCTAAGGCTGTCTAAGAGATGAAGAGGAACATATGTCCCACTCAGGCAAAAGCATCTCTTAAAATTCTGTGATTTTACTTAATGTGTGTAAAGTAGTGAGCGTAGCTTAGTAAGCAAATATGTGTGGTATATTTAGTTTGGAAATCAAAGCATATTTTTAATTTAGAATCATTTTTTTCATAGAACAGAAAAAAAATAATAAATACTATTTTCTTTTCTTCCAAGAAGCAACACATTCCAACAGCTAAAGGGTTTTTTTGTAAAAGAATGGCCCAGGAGCCTGTCGAACATTCATATCATGGATAAACATCATATTTTTTGAGGGTCGTATTGATGCATCCCTGGTGTGGAGTACTTTATTCCTCATTTCATGGAGGTGCAAGTCAGGGATAGGAACCACAGTAATACAGGGTCTTGAGTGCACTTGTCAGGCTTTGCAATGAAGCTGAGTCTCTAAGTCCTTAAGTAACTTCAAGATATAACTGGTCTGTCAAGATAATGGATGATGTTGGTGTTAAAATTCAGTCCAAAATTCCAAGTTCTCTAGTAGGATTAGTGCTTAATCCACTGATTATTCATCTTTAAAATTTCCTTTCTTTTGATTTCACTTCTTTCACTGATTTCCTTTCAAAGTAAATAATAATGCCCATGAGTTACAAATGTGAAAACACTTGTATCACAGGGGATCATGCAGTGGAGAGGCTAAAATTGCACCAAATAAATGTAATGAATGTTTAATTGCAATGACAATCACTCAGTTCATATATATGCACTTATGTATTCCCATTTACAAGAATCATAACAAAAAAAGTGCATGTTTATGTAAATATAATTGAAAATGAGCATGTAATGCAGTTATCATTCTTGGCACTGTTACACTTACTGAAAGCAAGTACTTCATGTTCTGAAAATCTGAACTATTTGTCGTATGGAAGTGTCATTTTACGTGAATGATGAAACTGGGCTGGGAGGAGTGTTGGATAGTATACACTAGGGAACACTCCTCAAATTGAGTGCTACATCTTTCCTTTTGTGTGTCGTAGAAACTGTGATTTGAATTGCTCTAGAGGTCCAAATAATGGCTCAGGTAAAGCAGAGTTTGTTAAATGACACCTCAAATGTAGCATGAAATAGAAACAGGTAGTTCTAAACTAATTTCAAGGCATTATAGGTGAGAAGTGTGTGGCTAGTGAGTGTGCATGAAACACAGTATAGACATAGTTTGTTATCTGTTAAATCTTTATTCCATAAGTTTTAAAATAATAACAAATCTGTG